CTGCCCCTCCATGTGAGGTCGGCCCAGACCCTAGGGGTTTTTAAATCAAAACTAAAAACACACTTCTCTCTGGCTTTCTAGTTAGAGCGGAGCACGACTCCTGACTATTCCGTGTGTTTTATTCTTATTTTGTTTTTTAAGTTATATCTGTTGTAACTTATTGTCGTTTATTGTGTTTTGTAGTAATGTGTTTTTATTACATGTACAGCACTTTGGCTCGACCAAAAATCGCTTTTAAATGTGCTTTATAAATAAAACCTGATTTGATTTGATTTGATTTGAGGTATTTTGCTGGTGAGAGATTTTAGTTGCTTTAGCGTGTAGAAGCTAGTAAGCCTATTTGATTTGTTTTAGATAGGCACAACATGTTTCATATGCAGACCTTATTTTCCTGTTCCATGTGGTACCGCTGAGAAAGAGTAATTTTTTTGGTCATGGACAATTTGGTAAAGGTCATGGAGAAGTCGTGGAAAAGTCATTGAAAATCATTGGTGAAAAAGTGTATGAACCCTGTATACTATATATGAGCTATAGAATGAGAAACAGTTGACCTTTCCGCTGTATGTTGGAGCAGAGATAACAGATAACATGTTATTTCCCAGCAAAATAAAAGTAAATTTAAACTAAAATACCTTACATAGTTTTGGTTCTCTTAGTAGTTTGTGGTATTGGTCATTGGGGTGACACATACAGGAATGCAGAATATTTCTGTTATTTAGGCCGCGGTCACATATGTTTTCTCAATGTGGGTTCAACCACACATGCTGCTGGCTGTGATAACTATCTGGCCTAGATATGATCCAATAAACATGACTACAGTTGGGGTTGCAAAATTCTGGGAATTTTCAAAGATGGAAACTTTCCATGGGAATAAACGGGAATTTATGGGAATAAACTGGGAATTTTCAAAATTGAAGGTTGGCTCTTCATAGGGAACTTAAATATAGTTGGGGAAAGTATATTTTAGCATAATCTTGACTAAAACAAACAGATGCCATTCAAGTACACTTGAATATCCATGCCATAGCACACTGCTTACTGCATGGCTATTGAGACCACACCCCCTACAGGCACTGTGCATTCCTCCATCACATGCACAGATGAGTAATATTCAACTCAACATTCCTGTTTTCGTTCTTCAATGAAACAAATAATTGTTCAATAAAATAATTAAAACTTTTTTTTAAAAGTTCTGTTTTACTTAAAAAAAATATATATTAAAATAAAAAAAAATCTGTTGAAATGTCATGTGTTTTTGTTTAATTTTGCATCGAATATTTCCAAAATTCCCCAGCTTAACTTCCCATGGAAACTTTCCGGAAACTTTCCGCCCCTTTGCAACCCTAACTACAATCCAGTCTCCTCTGTCACACATGTCCACACCCAAGGATTACTCAGTGAAGGAGTTTCGTAAGAGGAAGTTGAATTTCTTTAAAGTATTATTCTGATTTAGACTTTTCGTGATTCCCAATTAACTATTAACATTGGGGAGTAAAATGTCATTATAGGTGATAGAACTGATGGCTCAACTTGTTTAAAACTCATAATTGAATACAAATCAGATTTTCCTTGAAGAATCTTCTTGTTCTGTTGAAATTAGTTTCAATTACCAGCATCAGACTCATTAGAGGCTGTGACTAGTCTAAACTGCACACTCTTAGAAAATACAGCGTGAATTTAAACAAGTTTGTACTAGCATTTGATACATTTTAATGAACCAAAAGCAATGGAGTTGTTGACTTCATTTCAACCAATCAGTGTTACATTGCACATAAAACTAAATCAGTTGCACACTATCAGCTATACAATCTATATTTTACCATGATCGAAACTTCTTAACCCCATTCATTACACTAAGTTACCCTTCAAGGTACACCTGAAGATGAACTTGCCAGAAATGTGTAGAGTCAATTATGTTGGAAAAAAATGATATGATATGTAATGTTGTTAATATTGAGTTCATGGGTTTGAGAGTTTTACATTCTGACCCTTAGATTTATTAGAAACAGCTAAATCAATATAATATAGTCCAGTACAACAACACATGTAATAGGTCCTCAATGCTAAAACATATAATGTCCATGTATGATAAGATAAGATACAATAAGATAAGATATTTATTGATCCCAAATTGGGAAATGTTTTTGTTTATTGTTGTGATAAAGGTAGATTCTATATCAGAGCAGTTCTATGAGTTTGCGTAAATCAGTTATGCGTGCTACAAGTGCTGTGGGCCCTACACTTCAAATTTGGGCAATTTCTGTGGGAAACATAGCTTTTTATAGCAGTTGGCTGCTCCCAGCATATTTTTGTTCAGCTATTCAAATATGTCAAAAGGTTGAGGTCTTTCTCATATTCCTCCCAGAGCTAAAAAAATTACAACAAGTTTAGATGGGATGGACGCAACTCTACAAACTTAACAACTCTGAAATTACCATATTTATTTGAAAAAAAATAACCCACTCGTGGACACAAGCCCTCACGAGCAGCACTGGGCAATAACACTATTTAGGCTTTTCTGCCATTATCTAGTGACACATACTAGCCCTAAAAACTTGTTCTATACACAATAGTTATAAGACAATTATCTAAACAGGAATTCATAAATTGCCAGATTAGAATACTGTATCCAATGTTTTCTTAATACGTCTTTCCATAGAAACCACTAGCAGCTAACCACACCTTTTAAAAACGAATGAAAAACATGTAACTTGGGCCGACATACAACTCAGTGGAGGTTGGCGGCCCATGTGCATTTGCTCAGTCCCCGCTGCCAAGAAGTACGCTGGTTCGATTCCAACCTGTGGAATGTCTAGGCATGCCAGCCCCTCTATCTCCCCCTTTAAATGCTGTATTTCTGGAATCTCACCCAAAAAAATGAATTTAAAAAAAACATGTTACTATGTTGAATGTCAGTCACTAATGTTGGCAACATGTTCATGCTGTATGTGGTCGGTGATGTAGACGTGACCAGTCTTTTTTCAGAACTAAAGTAAAAGTACTTATCCTATAATCTCTGGTTTTAGATTGACTCACAGTTGCGGGAAACAAAAGAGAGAAGAGGGCGACAAAACTTTCTTTTAAACGTTATCTTAACTTGTGTGGCCTAACTGTTGACCATTGTTTCCTGGAATGGAGGGGAAATCATTTATCATTTATTGTGTTGGCAGCTCATTCCTTAAAACAGCAGGCTCAGATTGATTATCATAAGAGGAAATATTAAGGGTATATATTTCCAGGTTATGTAAATGTGTTATTGGGCTTTTTTCTTATCAACTAAGATTTGTTAGAAAATGTTTTCAACTTTAATTGACTGAATTTGTGTTATATATTTGAACATATATATTTAAGAAGTACAATAGCAGATGTTTAATTTGTGGGCCATATTTCATTATACTTTTTGAATTTGCTGAGGGCAGATTCAAAATGGTCCGCTGGCCGTATTTGTCCTCTGGGCCGTAGTTTGGACACCCCTGTTCTATATAATTATAAAATCAACGAAGTGCCAATAAAAAAAACGTAACTTTGTTGAAATATATAGATTATTTTACATTCAAAGAAAAATACACATCAAACAACACAGACCATTTCTAAATAGGATTGAAATGTGTTTTAATTATAAAATGAACAAAAAACCTTTCAAACTTGCTCTGAGATTTACACATGGGCGTAGGAAGCATCCTCAATGTGGGTGGGACAATTTGACAGGGGGTGTTGGCAGGTGGTGGAACTCACCTCCTCTAGGGGGATCCGGGGGCATGCTCCCCCGGGAAGATTTTTTTTTAAATGTTGAAGTTAAATGCATCAATCTGCTGCACTTTGAGAGCAACATTAGGGACTAAATCTATAGATACATCTCTCAACACCCATATGAAACAGAACTGTAAACAGACTTACTTTTTCTTTATGCATATTTTACAAATCACTCCCCTTTTAAACTGTATTTTTGTGTTACTGTCCTATAGTATGAGTTGTAATTATTTCATACCTGTTATTCTCTTGTTTTTTATAACTATTATTAATGATCATATAAAGGTGTGCCTTGGAAATACTTATTTACATGATTACCAAACCGTTTGAGACCCACTACTTAGACTAAAGTGAACTATCTAAACCCTCAGAGAGTCCTTTACCTCACTGAGCTGTAGTTATCAGCCTCTCAGTCTGACAGGAGAGGACTCTCCCTCCACCTCTTTAATAACAGCGCCTTATATCCGGGTGCTAGTGGAGCACGCTCGTGAACTGTTAGTGCCGGAGCCTCACAGCGGGGAAACTGTGGCGCACATAATTTTACAACTAAATACACAGCTACACAAAAAACGCAGCATGTGTACGGCTCATGTGTACGGCTCTGAGAATCTGCCTTGGTACAAAGTAGCAGTGAAAACATGGCACGGAATGTCATTGATTTGGGCATTCTCACAATAAGCAAGTGGAATGGATTTGATATTGAAGCACTGACACAGCGCTCTACAGAGAGAGGCGAGTGGATAGACCGATTCACGGACTTTCCACATAGTAAAAGTGGGGGGGTCTAAACTAATCATTTTAAAAGGCGGGGGGGACTTGTCCCACCCTCATATAATGGCTGCAACGCCCTAGGATTTACATGTTTGTCAAATGCAACTAATCAACCAACTCAAACTATAGTGTTTCTGTCCTGTGAGCTCAGTTTTAGTTTACTCTGCTGTTTACTAACTTCTCAGTCTGAGCCCGATTCATCCCCTCAGTTTCACTGAAACACGCTTGTAAACTCTGAGTTTCCGCCCTCTGAAAAAGTGCCTTGAGTTCTGGGACTGCATGTGTTATATATCATCTTATCTCTTCTCTTACCTCTCGGATTCTGTCAACTGCTAGCATTTAGCCCTGAACAAAGGAAGGTATTATAGACTTTATTTAGAGCAACACCCTTCAACACACACACACACACACACACACACACACACACACACACACACACACACACACACACACACACACACACACTGCTCCTCACTTACCGGCTGTTTTTTCAGTCCTGTCCATGTGTGAACAACAGATACACCCTTTCCTCTTCACAGCTCCTGTAAACTCACCCCCCTCATATCTGCCTTAAGGTTTCTCTCACTTTTTCTGCCTCACTCTTTCCAGCTACTTCTCTTTTCTTTGTTCCCAATCCTGGCTCTTTGCCACTCAGAATGTCCTCTTCTCTTCCTCTTTTTCCTCTCACTCCGGCCGCTGTAAAAAGCAGTAGCTCTGACGGTCCCCGCGCTGTGAGAGAGAACTGTGAGGGTGTGTGTGTGTGGTAGGTGGGTGTGAGCCTCATAAAGGGGGAGGTCCCACCCAGGGGTTGCAGTCGAATAGTCCAAAAATCAGCTCCTATCGTCTATCCCTTGAGCTCTGTGTGAAACGTCACGGGGTTAAGGGATAGTGGATAGGAGAATTCAAAAGGACTTAGGAGAAGAGACTGCGGTACTTTAGAGAATCCGACTGCACTTTCACTATCCGACGTGTTTATGATGCGCCAGCGGAGGTCATAAATGTGCGCCTGCTGCTGTGGGGAAACTATGGAAACTACAGTTTTCTATACAGCGGACGACAACATGGATGTTTAATAAGAACGAGGGACTACTGTAAACTCATCTAGAGACTCTGCACCGTGCTCTGATGCTGTTGTTTTATGCTTTATGAACGTGGACAACAGAGAAACATATTCTTCATGACCAAAGTTGGAATTGAAATAAAAAAGGAAAGTGAAACTTATGCTCGTCACCCTCTCCCTCCGGTCCACATTAATACAAATGACCCCAATACGTATGATTGTATGAACTATGAAAAGATCTTAAAATCAATACAAATGTATTTATTATAAACGTTAGTCCTTAAAGGCACGGACACACCAGGCCGATTATCGGCGTCGGTGGGCGCCAGGCCGACGATGAGAGTCGACACGCCCTACTCGGATTGGTGTGTCCCGCACCGTCGGGTCTTTTCAGCCGTGCCGACGCCTTTTCGGCCGGAATGAATCGGCGGGCAGTCGGCCAAAGGCAGTCGGCAAAATAAATCACTCTGATTGGCTGTTCAGCTAGCGAATCAGTGCATGAGAAGCGAAACGGAAGTGAGGGACCCAAACAAACTATTAAGAAGGCAAATCTGAGATTTCATTTAACTCCAATCTCTCGACACAGGTTCGGGAAAGCCCCGTGAGCTTCTCGCTGTAGAGTGAAAATGGAACGCACATGCTATTTGTTGTTTGTTTATATCACGCAGTCTGTTCTTCTTCTCTCTGTGTATCACGCAGTCTGTCTTCCGGTTGTTGCCTCTTTTGAATGACGAATACACACTACCGCCGCCTGCTGATAAGGACAGTTATTGCCACTCACGCATGCGCAGTTCGTACGTGCTTCTTGGCCGTCGGCTGAAGTCTTTGCGGTGTGTTCCAGTGCGACACATGGTCAAAACGCAGAGACGCGAGGCGACGCAACAGTCGGCGTCCGTCTGTGTCAGTTCTTTGTTGTCAGATTGGTGTGTCCGGGCCTTAACCTCTATCACTGTGTATATCACCATTCAAACATCTTTTAAAAGTTGAACAACCCCCACACAGCTCAGTAAAGACTGTGAAATGTTTACTTTATTTGATCATTTCAGTAAAAACTAACGTTCATATTTCTCTTTTTGATTATAATACTGATGAACGTTCAAAACAAAGCACTTTGGCAAGTTACCACATACGTTTTAAAAAGCTTAATAAGCACCGTAACTTTCATGATATCATTTCTCGGTCATAATCGGTTGTTTCCGTGAACGGCCGAATGTTGTGTGACGGCAAATGCTGCGGCTGCAAGGCATTGTGGGGCAGCATTTTCTCCTTTCCTTTCGTAAAGGGAGGTCCAGTGGTTCCTAAGCTAAAGGAGGTTATAAAGGAAGTTTGAAACCTCCTTTCCTATCATCTAGAGAATTTGAACGGCACTTGTCATGGCTGCCACTGAGGGACTTCCGGGTCATTTCACTCCGTTAGGAAGGTTCCTAAGCTAAATGGACTATTCGACTGCAACCAGGGACTCTTTACCTCCCCTGCACTTTAGCCCAGCTCCCTCATGCTTCATTTTACACAGTGTCTGCTTCTATGAGAGGAATTTCAGTTCAAGATGAATGGATGTAGTGGTTGCTTCCTTGCATTAACATACAGCAGGAGTGGCCAAAACACTCCAAAATATGAGCAATTAAAAGTACTGGCCAATAATGTATTCTAACCAATCAGCAGTAACTGACAATAGCACAGAGCACATGTTAAAGGGGCCCAATTATGCTCATTTTCAGGTTGATAATTGTATTTAGTGTCTCTACTGTGACATGTCTCCATGCTTTAATGGCGGTTGGAGTGTGTGGGAGAGAAACAACCTGAAAAAGCATAACGGGGCCTCTTTTAAAACAACACGCTCAAGGAAGTCAATGCTTATGATAGCTTAGCAAGCTAGCTTCCACTCAGAGTTGGAAAGTAGCTCAGGTCATTTACTATACTTACGTCCTGTTTTATTATACTTGTACTTTACTTGATTATTTCCATTTAATTGTACTTTTTCCTCCACTACATGTATTCAACACTCATATACCCCTTTCACACCAAGGCTTTTCCCGTTCTAGCTCCGTGCTAGAGCTTTTCTGGTTCAGAACCGGTTCTTCGGTTCAGCTCCCGCTCTGTTCACACCGCTCAGAGCCCGACTGGTGCTGCCGCTGCTGCGTCATGACGTCACAGTTTACGTCGCTGATTTTCTCCCCAACGGCGCTCACAACAACAACGGGCCGGGGACTGCGTCGGGTCGATGATCGTGTTGCTTTTAATCATACGTAGCCAGATTAAATTAAATAACGACTTCTCCAACCTTATACTTTTCTCCAGAGTGCCGTGGTTCATTGTTTATTATTGTGTTTCAGCGGCATTTACCGACCGCTGCAGTGCTGGCTGCTCTTCCACGAGTGTATTCTCCCGTTAGCTCCGGGTTAGCGCACACGGCTCTAAAGTATTCACTGTCTGACTGTCACACAAGCAGCTGATACATATCCCCAGTTCCCCTTAAGTGAATGTGTGTCAGTCTGAATTGACGCTGTTTGGCATCACAACGCTGTTATGAAAGTGTCTCTGATATAAAATGGGTGATGTTAGCATAGCAACCGAAGTTAAACTGACTATATTTTGACTACTTGTTGCTATCCTATTGTGGCATAGCCTAAGCCGTTTTCTACAGGCACATTTTACCGGCGTATTTTTCATTATGATTCTACTTGTGATAGTCGGACATGACAACCTGTGCAGCCCATGTATTGATTCCATCCGATAGCTGCTATAATACAAAACAAAACGTCTGCCTGCTCTCCACAATGATCAATAACAGCGAACGGATGGTCAAAGTAAGGTACAAATAAACAGAATCACACGAAGCCTGGTTAGTGTTGCCTGACTTTATAAAGTGTGTTTTTTTTAACAAGTGTGTGGTTGCGTTCTAGTCACTTTGCTCAGCGCTACTGCTTGTTACAACTTTTATTTGCCGTACTCACCTTAACTGTTAGCTCAGGTTAATCTCGCCCCCCTCCGACGTAAGCGTGACGTATGCGGTTCTTGCTTCTAGACGGACAACTTTTTGGTGCTCGAAACGAACCGGATTCCGGAGCTTAGAGGCGGCTCCGCTGCGGTGTGAACAGGAAAACCCGGTGCTTTTCAAACTCCAGCTCCGAACCGGCCCTGGAACCGCGTTGGTGTGAAAGGGGTAATAGTTACCAGCTGATGTTAACATATAAACAGGGGAATTATAATTCATATTAATATGATATTAACAATATACCCAGTATTAAAAAAAAAACACATCTAAACTTGTTTCAATATCTTTAAACTAATACATTTAAATGCTACATGTATTTGTTATTAAGTGTATTAGTTAGCAATTAAAACAGAATAATATCATATTCTATAATAATATCATAATTCCAATAGAGCCAACACACGTTGAATGCTGTCCGAGATATACTTAATTTCAAAGAGTACATGATATGGCCATTTTTAAGTACCTCCAGTTTGCACTTTAGTACAGCGATTAAGTAAATGTACTTACATTACATTCAACCATTGATAGCGGTGACAAGTCCATATACATGTTGCCTTGATGACATACACAGTCCTTTTAACCTGAACATTCTATATAAATGTTATAGGTCCAAATAGATGTGCCTTAAACTATTCAATCAAGTGTCAATAACGGTCTTTATATACCTATTTCTACTGTTCATGTACTGTTATTGTATACAGTTATTATACACTGTATATCACACACAGTCATACCACTGGTAATACTGTTCATACTGTCTATACATTGGCTTTTTTTATATTTCTGATATGTATATACGTTATTATACTATTATACAACAATACAGCACTTTAATGCTTCTTTTGCACTCCCGGATGGATGTTATCTACATTTTGTTGTACTCTGTGCAATGACAATACGTTAAATCTAATCTAATCTTATTCTAATTTTAAAGAGAGATTAAGAGACTGACCACATATTTAATGCTGACTCTTGATACATTTGTGCAATTTCCTATGCTCAGTAAAGACACATTTTGCCTGTGCTAAAAGAATACTGATGATAACCAGAGCCTTGTACTTTGGGTTTGTAATGACAGTTATACATAAAGCTCAAATAGTGAAAATAAACTTTTAATTTGCTCTGAACATTTCCGTTGTCAAAAACATTAATTTCTCATTAAGCGATGTTCAGCAGTATATGGAATGCATGTCCTCACAGTTGCATCAGCTGATCGGCACATCACATGAAATAAACCTAATTATGTGTGTGTGTGGATAGGAGCATAGGCAAGTGTTTGTGTGCAGGACATGAGCACATGTGTGAAATTGTACAAATCAGTGCCAGCCTTTTAGTTACACAGCAGTACACAGTCAGGTAATGAAGACACAACACTGCCTACTACTGTGTCCCTCACATTCTTAGATATAACAGGGTTAGAGAGAAGCCATTCACTTACAGTCTGCGTCTTGCTTAGGTCTCTGCAGAGAGACACCTGGAAACTGAAAAACGTTTGCATACAGACGGCAAACACTCTATTCCTGTGTGTGTGTGTGATATGACAGATTGGAGCAGCTGGAGCATTTGTTCTGAGAGTTATCTACCTATACAATTGTAGACTACATCAAACAGCCTTTTAGCACAGCTCTATGGACATCTGATAGCATGTGTCCACATGTAGAGGACTATATTTGCTTTGTTCCATATTTTATTTGCCCCTCAAAAACAGTATGTTACAATGCAGGTGTCACACACACATTACATTCAGTTTGCTCTGTCTTCTTTGTCTCTTTAAGAAAATTGACTAGGGTAGAGATGTCACCAGTGTTACCTCAGCTTTGAAAAATCCTAATGTTGAACCTGCGTTACAAACTGGAAGCTCCTTTTGCTATCTAAGAAATCCACTGTTTTTGCAGTTTGGCCAACATTATAATATGATTGTTTACTTACTAAAGGCGGCATATTCCGTTCCAAGGGAAATTCCCAGGATATTAATCCTCATTGTTTGACCTCAGATGTTCCAGCTCAGGTTGTTCTGGGCATTCATGCCATTATGTAAAATGAGAATTCAGGGCATGAAGGCAAAGTCAAAATAATCAGTGGAGTGGAAGATAACTTTGCCCGTACATGTATTCTGCAAAGGTTATTCCATGTTATGTCTTTCTTAAACACAAAAGAGCAGTCAGACAGGTTTTTAGTTCCAGATTGTTGAGCATTGTAACATATATAAATACTTATTCTACATTTCACCCTCACGAAAAAACAGGTTACAGAAAAAGCCAAGGGATCACCAAAGTCTTCAGAAGGTATCCCCTGGGCAAAATACATATATGTTCGAAATTACAAAGGTATATATCCAATAGTTGTTGGTATGACCTGACAGGAAGAGCTTGTAATTCTCAGAGCTTAGATCTTAGTATGATTAACTTTGACTTCATCTAGTGTGAAGAATATCAACAGTTTGAAATGAATGTTGTTCGACCTTTACATGTGTGTGTGTGGCCCACCCTTTATGCCTACCATACACTGATGGCGCTGAAACTGTGTTTTTGTTTATTCACCTGGACGGAGAATTTGTGTACATGTGGACTAGACTTAAGAGGAAGCAACAAAAAATATATTGGAATGAGAGGTGGGCTTGAGGTACTGAGTATACTTTGTTTTAACTCACTTTCGTTTTCCGTGAAGAAATAATGTTCTTCTAAAAGTGCGATAACTGTAACAGTGTGACGGCCAAAGCGCTCAAACTTGAATTAATGCGAAGTAACTGGACCAATGAATATATAAGAAAACGATTACATTATTTCCACTATTTTCCCAAAGTAAAGGTGGAGTTTCACTTTTTTATTATGGTGCAATATTTGTACTTTGGGAGACAAATTCTAATGACACTACTTGTCTTCCAAATACCCACAAACCCTCTCTTCTCAATGAAGGTGTCCCTACAACTGCGGCAAACATTTGCTGGTTACTTTTAATTAATGTGTTTGTGAGTTTGCAAAGTTAAGAGAAAAGTGGATGGATAAAGGTTTTCATGTTTACTTGCAAGACATTTCTGCTGGAGGGGTTTCATTATAATTTGGTCTGAGTTAGAATTCACTCCATTCTCTCTTCTGTCTCCGCAGACACATCATGACGGAGCTGATTGAAACAGAGAGGCTGTATGTGGAGGAGCTGCAAAGCATCATGGAGGTACAGTATGACACCTTACTAGAATGTCCTTTACTTTACACTGCATCTGGGCTTACTTACAACAAATCTACATTCTTCACTGTTCAATTACATTTGTCTCATCTCTGCTAATACTGTTTTCTAATGTTAGCATGCACCTTAAATTCACCCATTAATGGGGCAATTATTTTTTTGGAGATGTGCTTATATTCCCTAATATATTTCATTTTTGCTCGCTTCTGGTGTAACTTTCATATAGAATGGTTTACATGAATCGACTGCTGTTACATACTGCTTACAAAAAACTAAAACAAAACGATCAATTCACAAATTTTGAAGAGACCTTGTTATCATGTTGGGTTTTGTTGGGTATGTTCTATAGCAGGGGTGGGGAACCTTTTTCCTCTCAAGGGCCATTTACATTTTTCAACATCCTCCGAGGGCCGTACAAATTATTGACCTCTGCTTAAAAATACTAAAATCACAGCCCATTCATTTGGCCTTTCTTTCATGCTGTGCAAAGAAAAAGCAACCTCTTAATCCAGATATCTTACCATGACTCGCGCATGCATGCACGTGCACAGTTGTGGCATGACCACCAAAACAGAAAGATATGGACACAAGATGTGTGCAAATGTATTTAGTTTCTTATTCATGTGGACATGATTTAAGTGGGGGGGGTCCTAACCTCCTGTAGGGGGATCCGGGGGCATGCTCCCCCGGGAAGATTTTTTTTTAAATGTTGAAGTTAAAAGCATCAATCTGGTGCACTTTGAGAGCAACATTAGGAGATCTATGGATACATCTCTCAACACCCATATGAAACAGAACTGTAAGCAGATTTTATTTATGGATATTTTACAAATCACTCCCCTTTTAAACTGTATTCTTATTTATTAATAATTTTTTTTACAGTCATATAGTATTTTATACCTGTTTACTTTATTCTCTTATTTTTTTATAACTATAATGATCATATAAAGATGTGCTTTTACCTCACTGGTTGGAGAAAAAGCTTCTTATATTCGTTAGCATAGCTAGCTAACCAGATGCTAATAACAAAGTTATTGACTGTATGATCAGTATGACAGATGAACAGATCGCCACTGGGCTTTCAACTAAAGACACAGCCACGCAAAAACTGCGGCATGTGTACGGCTCCTTATGGGTACTGCAATTTGTGAAGTCCCGGCCCGGAGCGGCGTTCTGGTGCTCTCCTGCAGAACTGCACCCCTGTCAGACGGGACATATACCACGTGATGACACTAGGCTCGTGTTGTGTTCAAGGACCCTGACCTAACCCAGGAAAAACAGGCACTCGCTTGTTTAATTTTTTTGCGGTCTAGATTTCTTAAAATGTTTTCTTTTTTGCGTGTAAATTACCTCGAGGGCCGTACCAAATGGTCTCGCGGGCCGTATACGGCCCGGGGGCCGGAGGTTCCCCACCCCTGTTCTATAGGTTTGTGTGCATGTAAATGGTCTGCAAATGCTAAAATCCCTTAAGTTTTCTGCAGAGGGAGTTTCTCTGCCACATTCACCCCTCCATTGGACTCCTACTTACTAACACTTGTGCTTGTATTGGCTAGAACTTGAACACATTGTACTATGCCAAGTGGTTGACCAATCACAACAGAGCCGGCCAGCTAACCAATTAGAGCAGACTGGGCTCTGGTTTCAGACAGAGGGTGAAAAGAGGTGCTGCAGCACAGGCAGTATGAGAAAAATAAAGAGCTTTTTGAACATTAAAGCATGGAGACATGTCACAGGAGAGACACAATATATAAATATAAACCTGAAAATGAGCACAATATGTCCTAATCCCTGAGTTTATTACCGATTAATGTTCCTTTTAATAGAAAGCATACTGTAAAAACAAATGTTTTCCTAACCTTCAGACTCCTGTCAGTGTATAAACTTTATATTGTCTCCTGGGTTGAATATGTCCAATTGATATTCTGTTGGATTACTCACACCGCAGGCTGGATTCAGCAGGAACGCATTGATTCTGATTTTACAGTATATTGATTACATAAAAAAGAGCATGGGTGTTAATGTATACCTCATTACTCTTATTGTAGGTGTCCATTTGTAAAGTTTGACACTGTAAATGGTGATTAGAAGACATGTTTTGCTATCTTGCAGGGTCATTTATGTCTTCTTCTTCACTGTCTCATCACTCTTCCCTGCTGCAGGGTTATTTTGCAGAGCTGGATAACTCCGAGCTCAGCCACCTAATCCCCCCCACCCTGGAGAACAAAAGGGATGTGCTGTTTGGCAACCTGCCAGCCATATACGAGTTTCACAACAGGTAGGTGGGATGCATTGTGCACATGGCCTGTCCCATGCTCCTCTCTATCCTGGAAACACTGATTTGGAACAAGGCTGACCACAGGGTGAAAGAGTATGAAGGAAACTGAGAAACCACTCCATAATAGACCAGGGACCGAACCATGTCACATGAGTCAGGAACATTATTAATGTTCCATACAGTTATAGAAATCTCTTATAGATAAAAAATCTACTTGCGAAACACTCTTATTAGTCCTTTTTATATCAATGAATTCATTATTTGTAATAATTTAATTTGGATCTGGTTCAGAGACTGAGTAATTATCTTTGTATGCACTTTACATACATTTTGATGAATTTAATTATTCTTCAAATAAGTATTCTAAATAAAGGGAAAGAAAAACAATGTACCCATGCAGCTGTACATTAGCATCCTTCAAGCTCTATTGCTATTGATGAAGTAGATTATAATAAAAAAAATATATTTAAACTATGAGAAATTAATGGTAATAATACAAAATAAAATACCCCAAAAACTGTAAACATTTCTTGTTGTGAAAAATTAAATAACCATATCAAATCCAATATGTTTTGTCCTATTTATTACATGCTTACAATAGAAAATACATGTTAGAAATATACAGTGCATCCGGAAAGTATTCATACCCCTTAACTTCTTTCACATTTTGTTATGTTACAGACTTATTTCTAAATTGATTAAATTCATTTTTGTTCTCAATATCCCACACACAATACCCCATAATGACAAAGCGAAAACGTTTTAAAATATTTTTTTGCAAACATGTTAAAAATAATTCAATGAAATATCACATGTACATAAGTATTCACACCCTTTGCTTTGACACTGAAAATTGAGCTTAAGTGCATCCCGTTTCCACTGATCATCCTTGAAATGTTTCTATAACTTGACTGGAGTCCACCTGTGGTAAATTCAATTGATTGGACATGACTTAGAAAAGAACACACCTGTCTATATGAGGTCCCACAGTTGACAGTGCATATCAGAGCACAAACCAAGTCATGAGGTCCAAGGAATTGACTGTAGACCTCAGAGACAGGATTGTATCAAGGCACAGTTCTGGGGAAGGTTATAGAAAAATGTCTGCAGCATTGAACGTCCCAACGAGCACAGTGGTCTCCATTATTTGCAAATGGAAGATGTTTGAAACCACGAGGGTTCTTCCTAAAGCTGGCCCCCAAACCAAACTGAGCATTGGGGCCTTACGGCCCGTCCACACAGCGGCGTGCGTTGAAAGCTTCACCATTCACTTGAATGGGGTGACGTCACTTTTCGCCGAACTGCATTGTGGGAAGCGAAGCGGAGCTTTGCTGGCGTGGCTCGCTGCAAAAGTTGAGAAATGTTCAACTTTTGAAGCTTCTGAAGCTTCGGTGGAAGCCAAACAAATCCCATTGGGAAAGATGAATGCAGCAATGTACAGAGAGATCCTTGATGAAAACCTGCTCCAGAGCGCTCTGGACCTCAGACTGGGGCAAAGGTTCACCTTTAACACTAGAACCGCCAACGGGTCAATTTTACCCGCAGCTGTTTTTTGATTGTATGTCACTTTTTTACAATAAAATATTAAAGTCTCCCAGTCCGTGACTTTCCGTGTTATGTAGCACCCTCTGTTGTTAGAAATTGTCAATATGAAGTCAGATTGAAAAAATCGCCAAAAAAATTGCCATTTATACCTATACCCGCCTATCTAAACCCTCAGAGTCCTTTACCTCACTGAGCCTCTCAGTCTGACAGGAGAGGACTCTCCCCCCACATTATTGTAGAAACAGCTTCTTATATCCGTTAGCGCAGCAGAAGCTAACAACAATCCCCGCCGGTACCGGTGCGCCCCCTCTATCTATCTCTCTCTCTCAGTTACTCAAACAGACAAGCCTGTTTACAGTTGTCGGCGAAATGCCACTCCTCTGTCTTCAGTCAAAGCATGAGACTGAAGTTCCCACTGTGGGTCAAAATAATGCGCAGTCAACACGTTGGATGCGATCCGAATGATCTAACGCAGCCCCTCATCCTCCACAATGTTAAGCTGTAGCCACCCATTTAGCTATCGCTGTTGAAAGATTGCTGCTCGTACACCGTGTCCAGGTGTCTCCCCGGCAAACTTTCAAGCGTGGTCTGCCGCAAGCGAGCGGCAGGAGCGGGGCTGTCAGCATCAGCTGTGTGCTTGGCTTGCCGTTTAAAACACCTTTTTTTGTATCCATATCTCTCGCTAGAATCTCCCACCATCCAACTAACAACAACAACGTCAAGCCTTTGGGCTCTGAAACTACGGGGCGGGCCAAGAACAAATACACATGCGTTAATCACACGTTAAAATAATTAGTGGCGTTAAAAATGTTTGCGTTATTAACGCGTTAACTTGACAGCCCTAACATTTATATTAGCTACTTACTGTCTAGTTTGGCAGTTTGATCGGTGTCACATCCCAGGGTTCTGATTGGTTTAATCCCCATGGTCCTTCTCAGATTTGTGCAGACAGTTTATTGAATAATCTCATCCTTCATTGAAAGGAATATTGAACTCCACAGCTAGCATGTCGGAACATTTGAACTGTAGAGCAGTGGTTTGTTTTGTACCTCCTTAACTTGTAGCTTCAGAGTGTAATTGATGTAACCTTAGCCTGTGTGCTCTCGCTCCAAGGACAAACAAAAGTGCCTGTGCTGATGAGATAATTATTCAAAGCAACTGTCAACAAGCAGAACAATTCAGAAACATCACAGGCATGCCAAGCAGATTGCAGACTCCCCGAAGGCCTGAACCAAAGAGCCGTTCCTACTTTCCTTCCATCCTTATCTCCTTCCCCTCACTTTATGCTTTCACTTCCTTGCCCTCTCTCTTGCTTCCTGTTTTCCTGTCTACTTGTTAGCTCTTCCTCTCATCTCTCTGTACAGTTACTGATGAAAGTGAGGTGGGGCAGAGATTTTGGACAGATTTGTTCCACTTCTTCAAACTCCTTGGTTTGGATTTTTATAAACTAAGGGGCCAAGACTCAAATTAGTGTAGTCCTACTGCTTTAAATGGGTATTCCAGCAATGTATGGTCCAAAACGTTGCGAGACTTTATACAGGTAGATTAAAAGAGAATGGGAAAAGCTGCTCACATCTTTCAAATGCTTGGTCTACAGGTCTGAACCGTGATACATTGATCACATCATGAGGATAATTTGCTCAGACTTGAAGCTCAGTAAACTGCTGTTCATGTGTAAAATTGACAGTCCTCTCTTTCATTTCCAAACAATGGGTCCAATTTGACACATCAATATTGTGTTCGATAATGACAAGAGTTGAGTTATTGGCCAACTTACCCAAGGAGATCTAAATGATTGACTGTCTAGTGCTACAATAAACTGCTCACTTGCGTTGATAATGTGATTTCCAGCTCTAGGAAAATGAACAGTGTGAGTTGTGTTCTCATTGTTCATATACTTCCTGCAGGACATTTCTAAGGGAGCTGGAGAACTGTGCGGAGAAACCAGAGCTGGTGGGGACGTGTTTTCTGAAAAGGGTGAGTAACTTAAAAAACAGTGGACAGTTCATTTACCCAAGCATTTGGGTTGAGTGTTTATATGTTGTTAATTCAACAATAATGAAAATGTCTCCTGTATAAACAAAGTAAACCTATTATGAGTACCTACATTCAGTGGTTTACTACTTCTGTACTGTTATTTGCAATTGAAATGTTGTGTGAATTTGCTACTATTTCTGAAGTAAAATCATTGCAGGTTTAAAATGGAGCAGCTTTCTACGAACCAAAATAGGGTCTCAGAGATGGGTTTTATAGCTTCCGTGTGTATTATTCAGAGGGGATGACTCCCAGTAAAGAACATGCTTTTAGATAAATGCAGGACCAGGCAGGATCATCGGGCTGGGTCCAAATAACTTAGGGAATAGGATCTTGTTGTTTTTCTAACACCTTACTTTGCATCCTAATACTCACAGAATCAGTTCATTTGTTTTGACAGTACGTATAAGCATGTCATTTTAAAAAATGAGAACATTGTTGGCTCTACATTGGATCAGGTCAGATAGATTGTAGGTCTTTCTCATTCTCTTTGAAAGAGTTTTGAGTTTACCGTTAAATTGACAAAAACCATATCAAGGCATTAGTTCGACATACAAAGAGTACGGCAAAGAGTACAAACTTATTCTGTAGGAAACAGGGTTTGTGTATACTGTTTGTCTCATGAGTTTGGACTCTTTTAATCAAGGGTACAGAATGAGGACACTAGGTCTACCATCCAGCGATGTGCAGAATTACTGACAGACCTCATATTCAAACAGCTGAAATTGACAAAAAAAAGACAAGTTTTAATTTGAAGGCATGTCTTTGTGTTTTCAGAAAGAAGAGCTTCAGGTGTATGAGAAGTACTGCCAGAATAAACCCCGCTCTGAAGTCATCTGGAGACAGTGTGGAGACAGCCTCTTCTTTCAGGTATGAAGTACTCTTTAGGTTGTCAGACTGCAATATTTGTTCCATACACCCAGGCCCGCCTTAACCTGCCATCAGGCCCTGGGGCCGAAGGGTTTTGTAGGCCCCCTATTTAAACAACAAATCAAAGTAATTTATAGCCTCGGCAGGCTCTGTGAATAACACACACACACACACACACACACACACACACACACACACACACACACACACACACACACACACACACACACACACACACACACACACACAGAGTTATATTTCTGTCTTTGATATTTCCATTTAAAGTTGTCATTTGAATGGAGAATTTAAGTTTTGAATGCCTTCTGACTGCTTTTTTTTAGAGCTCAGCTATTAATGCCTTTTTCAGGGTTTCAATGCTCCACAGTGATATGTGCAGTGGCGACTGGTCATTAGGGGCAGGTGGGGCACAGCCCCACCTAGTGTCAGCAGAAAGTATTACAAATAATGATTACAAAAATGCAAAAAAATAAATAAAAAAATATATTTTAAGATCATGTTTAATCATCTGATTCGTCTGTACATTGCTGTTTTAGTCTGTGTTCTTCTAATTAGTGTGTCTACAGTCACAGTGTGTGCCTATTGAGCTGTTTAGAGCCATGTGGGACAAAACCTGATCATGCCCCTCCCTCTCACTGTGAAGTGAACGTGACTGTAAAAACTTCACTGCGCATGCTCAGAGTATTTTGTAATGAAATGTGTGTGGCAAAAAAATAATGACCAGAGGGGCATGGAGCTACCATCCCCACCATACGTCATCTCAAATCATTCAGAGCTGATTGGCTGTAAGTACGTGTGCCGCGAAAAGTGTGCTGTGTGAAGAGGAGACGAGAGAGCTGCAGTGGCGCGTCCTAAAACCAGGAAGTAAGCACAAAAAGGATTTTAGAAAATAGCTGGAAATAAGATCTGTGGGAAACGTACCTGTTAGATAAATGCACGTTTTGATTAGCCGGATAACATCCACATGTCTACCCTACTTATATAATTTTTTTATCATAAATCTATGGATTAGATTTATGATAGACTTTTGAAACTACAAGAACATAAGGAGGACTTTTACAAAAAAGTAATAGAAATGTTTGTCCAGAAGGATAGGCAAATGGACTTCATCTTCAAGTCAAGGTAAGACCGCCATTTTATTGAAAATGGGATCTTACTAAGAGAGAACAATTCAATATTTAAATGATAAAATGACATTTTTTGGGTATCCTTTTGTTGAACTGTTTGTTTAAAATTAATCGAAGCATCAGACAAAAAAAGCTTTTGAAAATAATATTATATTTTGGTTTAGGTCAAAATATAATATTTGTAAACCTGAAGAGTCAGTGCCAGTGCCTCACCAGCCATGAACCTCACTGCACGTCACTGCAGAAGCTTATATATAGACATCTAAGTTTTTTGTGCCCCACCACTTTTGTACATATAAAAACGCCACTGGATATGTGCACACAAAGACTGCTATATAACTGCACTGTAATGTTGTACCCTTTTTCGCCCACTTGTAAATGGATTGAATGCAAATGTGGATGTTTATCGGTATGCATTTTAGGCAAGGGTCATGTAATTTACTGAGCTGGATTATAATTGTGTGCAATTGCCATCCAGAGTGGGGGTAGTGTTATGATATTAGTGTCATGCAGTGAGATCGCTATCCCTTTAAGAGAGAGAGAGAGGGGTGTGGCGCGTGCATGTGTGTGTGGGTATGGTAGAGCGAGAGTGAGCGAGCGTGTGTATGTTTCTGGAAGTGAAACGAGGCAGCAGAAGATATAGGTCTGTCAAGTATTGTGTTAACAGAATAACTAAATAAATGCAACGGCCTCCTAAGAAGAGCTCGCCTCTCTCCAGTCATTTCAGTAAAGTGGGTTATTGAACCTGAAGCTTGTTTCTTCTGCCCTGGGAGACAACAGAGAGTCATCCCCCTGTTTCCTCGACTACGGTCTGGGAGCCGACCAAGTTCAACATTGGCAAAACAAAAGTCCCTCCTGTCTGTTTTTCCTCTCCCGCTACTCCATCGCTATCAGAACCAGACATATGCCTACTTGGCTCCGAGGCGCCGCAGCCGGCACCGCTCGGTACAGAACTCATCTGTCCTTCCTCCTCATCCTGGTTTACAGGTTAAAATAACCTGTAAGCTTCGGCATTTTTTGTAATGGTTGCTTGTCTCGAAACTCCTTTTCCCTCAACAATTTCCTTTTCCGAGCGCCACTCTCACACTATTTCTTCTCTGACATTTTCACCCTAAACAACCTTCATCTGTCACTCAATCACTCGCATTTTGAATAAGTCACATGTGGAACATATTCTAATTCTGATTGGCTGTTAAGTGGTGCCTACGGAGCGGGTGTCTTATAATTTGTATCAATCGCCAGCCACATACATTCAGATCAAATGATGGACAGAATATTTGACCAATTACAAAACAATGCATTATTTTTATTGGCTCATGATAGGCCCCCGATCTCCGTAGGCCCGTGCATTAAGGCGGCCTTGCATACACCAGGATAACACTGTTCAACCTGACTCTAGCATTTCAATCTCTTCCCATTTTGCGACAGGTGTGTTTTGACATGAACTTATTGTAGCTTTAACACTAGGTTAAGTAGGTCTATCCTGTGTCTTTCCTGATGGAGAATGTTTGGTGTTTTGTGACAACAGGAATGCCAGAAGAACCTGGACCACAAACTCTCTCTGGATGCCTACCTGCTGAAGCCTGTCCAGAGGATCACCAAATACCAACTCATGCTCAAGGTAACATCTTGCAGTCACGGAAAAGGTGGACCCAAATGCAGAAAGAAAGATAGAATATAAACTACCTTTGTTTAAAGGCTTCGTCCAGACAAGGCAAGGTAAAACAGAACTTCCAGACGAATAAAACTCCAACAGAAAAACCAGGACTTAAAGCAGAAGAAATGAGAGGAGGAAGTACAGGTGATCAGTGAGCAGGGCTGATGGGGAATAGGTAGAACTCATAAGGCTAGGACAGACTGGGGAAAAAGGCGGGAAAACAAACAAAGACAGGAAGTAAAAACAGACTTGACAAACGTTGAGGAGAAAGGCTCCTAAAAGTTCCTCATTTTGCAACTGGAGCCACATTAAGTCTTTTCAACCCAGAGGTGTACATGTGTTCTGCTACACCCATCATTTAGGAGTGTAGAGGATCGACATTCTAACTGTAACCAAGGTGCGAACTTAGGCTCCAAGTTAAACTAAAATCAGTTTGGAAATGATTATTTATTTTATTTATTTATTTTAATCGTTTATTTGGCAGGGACATTACACATTAATGAACACTTAAAACAATAAATATTTCAAGCGTAAAAATGCCGGATTTAGCTTTGAGCTACTTTCCATCCACAGTCCCTCACATAAAACATTTAAGAAAATCACATTTATAAACATAGCAAAAACAAATACATGATATGCTAAAAGAGCAAGAGCAGCATACACAAGTATTTATCAAATGGCAATACAATATAGCAGCAACGACATATAAAGTGCAAGAGAAGATACAAGAGATACATAAAGTGCAAGAGGAGATACCCCTGTGTTAAAGTGCATTTAGCGGTGATTGCACGTCTGTTTGTTTCTCAACCATTCTTTGAGTTGACCTTTGAAGCTATTGAGAGTGGGACAATCCCGTATGTCAGTTGGGAGGCTATTCCACAATGAGCTGCCTTTAATAGAAAGTACATTTTGTCCAAAAGTGGTCCGTCTACGGTGGACTTCACAGTCTCCTCTGGTTTCTGACCTAGTGCAGCATCCAGTGTGTCTTTTGTGGATGAATTCCCCTAAGGGAGGGGGGGCCAGTCCATGTAAACATTTATAAATAAAGCAAATACTTTTAAAAGACTTAAAATTGTCAAAACTCAAGAAATTGTGGGTTTTCAAGGATGGTACAGTGGTGGTATGAATATGGCTTTCTGTCAAACACCTTGATAGCTCTCTTGTACAGCTGCTGCGAGCTGCTGCGAGCAGCAGACAGGCTTCCGTGTCGGCGATACAGCGAGAACAAGCTAAACTCATCCTGAGCACACACAAACACTCACAGCCGAAGTAAAAACAATAAGTGTGGCTTGATATTGAGTAAGAAAAAGGTTTATAACGCTGTGAGAATGGGTCTGCGGAGAGCATTTCTCCGCCATCCCAACTTAGCAGCCCGAAACACGTTTACCCATTTAAACAGTCGTGGTAGATACCTTGTTTGTTTTAAACATCATAAATACACAAACAACAATGAATACTTACAGGTTGTGTACCCGAATCTCCCGCTGGTCCAAACAAAGTAGGAACAGCATCGTTCTTCAGTGCCCTACGCTGTACATATCCGGCATGAATCGCTGAGAGGTTTGGGAAGCTTTGGCTGGCAGAGGGTGTGGCCTCTGGGTATCCCCACGTCAGAGTACCCAGGAAGTAAACAATGGAAAATGAGAAATCTCCAACGAGGCGTTTTGGGGAGGTCTTTTCTGTGTTAGAGGGTTTTTGACTCTGCAGCCCGTACATGCATAAAAACCTTCATAACACACAAGGGGACGGGTAATAACCGGGAAAAGCATGACATTGGACCTTTTAAGGTTTGTGGCACAAGCAAACGGCCAGTTTGTAAAACACAGGGATGCAAACTTGTCACCTTTCGGCGAAATTCGCCGTTTTGAATCCAAAATAGGTCGTTTGTGTGATTCATGTAGATCTGCAATAAAAATATTTTTGGGGTATGGGGGGCGTCTGGGACCCGGAGTAATCTGCGGCCGTGAGCTGTTATGTGCCATCATGACACGCATGGTGTTATTTTTTTATATATTATAATGAAGCGAGAGCTGTGTGCTCGAGTCTTCCTGCCTGTCGGCTCTGCTCATCGATGTATAATAAGGCTCTGCTGCTCCGCGATGATGGTCTAGCTTCATTAGCTACATTACCTACGGGTGCGTTCGTTAATATTAACTGTGCGGTCCGGAGTCACTGTGGCACAGACTGGACCGCTGGTGAACAGCTGTTAGAACGGGCCGTTCAGGTGTTCAGAGCAGAGCTCCCTGTCGGAGCGGCAGAGCGTGATGTGCACTGAAAAGTCTTTCTGTCGCAAATATTATTTAATGAATCGTTGAGCTAGCTAACTAGCATACAATGTCACTATCTGCTAACGTTAGCTTTAGCCTTCGTTTTCTAATAGTTTTTTTCATAGGCTATAAACGGAGGTGGTATAAGTATATATCTTGTACTTGAGTAAAAGTAGAAGTACTCAGATCTTGTACTTAAGTAAAAGTAGAAGTACTCAGGTCTTGTACTTGAGTAAAAGTAGAAGTACTCAGATCTTGTACTTGAGCAAAAGTAGAAGTACTCAAATCTTGTACTTGAGTAAAAGTATAAGTACTCAGGTTTGAGTAAAAGTAGAAGTACCAGAGTGTAGGAACAATCCTGCAATCAAAATGTTCCTCAAATAAAAGTACAAAAGTATTATCATCAAAATATAGTTAAAGTAGCGACAGTAAAAGTAGAAGTACTCAGATCTTGTACTTAAGTAAAAGTAGAAGTACTCAGATCTTGTACTTGAGTAAAAGTAGAAGCACTCAGATCTTGTACTTGAGTAAAAGTAGAAGTACCAGAGTGTAGGAATACTCTGTTACAGTAAAAGTACTGCATTCAAAATGTTCCTCAAGTAAAAGTATAAAAGTATTATCATCAAAATATAGTTAAAGTAGCGACAGTAAAAGTAGTCATTGTGCAGATTGGTCCATTTCAGAATAATATATATGATATGTTTTATAATGATTGATCATGAAAGTGTTCTCAAAGCTGGTAAAGGTGCAGCTAGTTTGAATGACTTTGTATACTGCAGGGTAGCTTGTGAATTTACTGCAGGTGGAACTAAAGTCGGATTTAACACTTGATTAGATTTCACATCATTCATCCACATCTGTAAAGTTACTAAAGGTATTAATACATGTAGTGGAGTAAAAGTACACCTTTTACCTCTGAACTGTAGAGGAGTAGAAGAACAAAGTAGTAAAACATTGAAATACTTAAGTAAAGTACAAGTATCTCAAAATTGTACCCAAGTATAGTACTTGAGTTTATGAACTTAGTTACTTTACACCACTGGCTATACAGATAGAAAGACTAAGCCTTACACAGAGGCATGAAAATACATTTTCAAAATGCTCAACAGTGCTGCCAAAATTATACATGTAAACTGACTGCTACACAATTAAAATAAATGCTTTTATATATTTCTATTAGATGTGACTCTTTGGCATTTCTGTTATTATTAACTGCTTTAGTTGTTCTGACTGCTAACATCCTCTGTTATTCCTCATTTTAAAGCTGATATTCCGTGGGGTCGGGGGGCTCGGATCCTTGTCACCTTTTTCATACCTGATGAGTTTGCATCCCTGAAAACAGTATTCAATATGGCATAGAATCATACAGTGGAGGTATGACTTTGCAGGATTGACAGTTAAGAAGGGTCTAATTTGTTTAACATTTTGCAAGTTGAATTTAATAGTATTTGATACTTTCTTAATATGTTTCTTAAAAGTCAAGTTCGAGTCCAATATGACTCCAGGATAGTTGAACTGGGAGACTAGTTCTATTTCTGCTCCGTTTAAAAACACGTTAGATCCTTCGATTTTGACTGGTCGTTTACTGAGCATCGTGCATACCAGAGGTGTGGACTCGAGTCACATGACTTGGACTCGATTCAGACTCGAGTCACCAATTTGATGACTTTGGACTCGACTTCACAAAATCACAAAACACTTGCGACTCGACTTGGACTTGAACACCAATGACTCGGGACTTGACTTGGACTTGAGCCCTCTGACTTGAGGTGACTTGATAATTTAATTCAGAGGTCTCCAACACGCCGATCGCGAGCTGCCGTTCAGAAGAGCAGACTCCCGTCGGGGAGAGCAGAATCTCCAGCCGCTTCTACTCTTGCTGAGAATCCTTGCAGGCAGGGGCGGGTCTTTATTTAGCTGGGCCACCATGCGGCCAATCATATGTGAGGACACACTAGGATCATACCATTATGTGAAAGAAGGGTGGGGGGCAGACGCTCCAAAGATAGCAGGTGTAGTGGTACAGGCCAGCTACACAGAGCGACGGGGAGACAGATTTAAATGCAAGCGCGTCGGAAAAAGTCAAGAAATTAGCGAAAACCGAAAAAAGAAGCAGCATCTGGCTGCATTTCAATGATATTGGAGAAAGCAAAGCTGAGTGCAGGATTTGTCAAATGAAAATAACCTTCAGAGCAGGGTTTTTTTTTGGTAACCACTCAGGATTTATTGTCAGAGGTGGGAGAAGTTCAGATCTTGTACTTGAGTAAAAGTACCAGAGTGTAGGAATACTCGGTTACAATAAAAAGTCCTGCATTCAAAATGTTACAAGTAAAAGTACAAAAGTATTAGCATCAAAATACAGTTAAAGTACCACCTGCAGAGGGATCTAGATTCAGGTGTTCTTTTCCCCATAAAGACCGCCTCGCTGCACATTATCCCTTGCATAAAGATAGGTTGTGGGTCCCTTATCACATGTTGTACACAGTGGAAATAAACATTCTGGTTACCTCAACATCAGGGATCTTATCAATTAAACTCCTTCTGAATCAAACCGTCACAGTAGCATTACCTTACTGATCCCTCTTACAATAGAAGAAAACACGTTACTTTACCAGCAGAGAGAAAATAGATTATTACAGTATTAATGTGACTAATAAAGAGCAGTTTCATTATTAAGTATTATTCTGTTGATCGATG